GGGGCCGCTCTCGGTGGCATGGGCACCAGCCACAAGACGATGATCCGGGGGCATGACCACACACACACACACACACGCGCGCACCCAGACGGATCCGTGAGCGCGGGCGCGTCGCTTGTACGAAGGTGTCCACGCCCCCCCCCCCCCCTGATCGAAGCGAGGATTACGGGCACGCCAGAGACCGGCACCGGCACGGGGGCGCGGGGAAGGGCGGCGGGGCAGCAGGGATCCCCCGCCCTCGTTGTGGGCCGACGCTCACCGGCACATTCCCCCACAAGCGGCGGGCCCGCGGCGAGGCCGGCTCGTAGCCGGGGCGCGCGCACGCGCAACCCCCCGGGTCCGGCGCGGCCCCCCCCCCCCGCCCAGGCGTCGGAGCGCGCCCATGCCCGGGGACCCGGCGCCCCTGGCCCCGCCGCCCAGGGGGGCCAGACGACAGATCGCCGGCCGCGGGCGACGCCTTCTTCGGCCAGCCCGATCCGCCCCCGCCGCCGGGGGCCACCGCGCACTTTCCTCTCTCTCTCCCTCCCTCTCCCTCCCTCTCCCCTCCCATCTCCTCCTCTCCTTTGCTCGCTCACCCGCCCCCTCGCTGCACGCACGCGCGCGCACACATCTTCTCTTCCTTCCCTCCGCACACACACACATTCCCCCTCTTGCACCAACGACCACACGCGCGCACATACGCCCGCGCGCCGCGCCCTCCCTCGCACATGAGCTCCGACGACGCGACCGCGGCCTCGGAGCTGCGGGGCTTTCTCGGCCAGGCGGCCGCCCGGCCGCGGGCCATCCCCCCGGGCGCCACGCTGGATGATGTGGCCGATCCGGCCCTGCTGGACGATGTGCTGACGCGCACGGCCCAGGACTATGCGGCGCTGCTGCTGGGGTCCGGGGCCCTGATGCCGGCGAGCCCGCTCTCGGCCGGGGGCATCTCGCCCGGGGCCCCGCCGGCCATGGTCGGCTCGCTGGCCGGGGTCCCGGTCGACGGGCCCTGCTTCAGCGCGGTCTTCTGCCCGCGCACCCGGCAGATGCACGCGCGATCCGGCGACCTGGCCAGGGCGGCGCGCCGGCCGGCCGGGCCCCCGGAGGCGGACCCCCTGCCGGAGCTCACCCGGCGGTGCCTCATCCCCTTCCTGTACATCGGCCCGGGGAATGACCTGGGCCCGGAGGGGCTGCACGCGCTGCTGAGCCTGCTGGCGTCGGCCCGAGGCCAGGACCTCCGGTGCCTGGTGCTGGGCGAAGGGGCCGGCCTGACGCCGGAGGCCGCGACCCGGCTTTTCCAGCATGTCGGCGCGTCGGGCCTGGCCGAGCTGGTGATCGACGCCGGCCCCGGGGCCTTGACCCCGGGGGCCGGGCACTCCGGGCTGGAGGATTTGCTGGCGGCCCTGCGCTCCCGGGCGGACCTCCGGTCGTTGGTGCTGGCCGAGCGCGGCCTCCGCGGGCCCGGGCTGTCGGCCGTGTGCCGGGCCATGGTCGATCGCCCGGGCCCGGTGGCGGACATGGCGGGGCCCGGCGCCGGCGGCGCCGCCTTGCCGCTCCGGTGCGTCTGGCTGGCGCACCTGGGCCTGACGGCGGAGGGCGCGCGCGTGGCCCTGGCCCCGGTGCTTCGCCGGGGGCAGACCAGCCACCTGCGCCTGGAGGGCCAGCCGCCGGGCGCCGGTCCTGCCCGGGGCCCGGGCGCCTGCTCGCACCGGCCGGCCACCCACCCGGCCGGCCATCCGGCCGAAGCCGATGACCCGCATGTGGGGGTCTTCCTGCGTGCCGTGGCCCGGCACCGGCATCTGGCCACGGTGGCCCTCCCCGGGGGGGCTCTTCACGCTGGCGGGTCGTTGAATTGCCTGGCGGCCGGGCTCGATGCCGGGGCCGAGCTGCGCACCCTGCGCCTGGGCGCCGTGCGCCTGGACCCGATGGCCGGGTGCCTGCTGGCCGGGGCATTGGCCATCTGCCAGGGCCGGCTGCTGCACCTGTCCCTGGCCGGCCGCAGCGATGGCGACTGTGTGATCTTGGATCCGGAGCTGGGCCGGCAGCTGGCCGGGGCGCTGGCGGCCCAGGGCCCGGCCGGGCTCCGGGTGCTGGCCCTGCGTGCCGGGCGCTCCAGCTCCCGGGCCCTGGCCGGGCTGCTGGACCTGCTCCAGCGCCGGCCGGCGTCCCGCGCCCTCGGGCACCTGTGCCTGGAGCTGCCGGCGCAGGAGCACCCGGCCGAGGCCCTGGTCGATGCCATCCTCCTGCGGTCATCCCTGCGGCGGGTCTTCCTGTCGGGGCTGGAGGGGCCGCTGGCCCTGGCGGCGGCCGAGGCCCTCGGGCGGAATATCTCCCTGCGGGACTTGCACCTGCATGGGCACTCGTGCTCCGGGGCCCTGGCGCGGGAGGCCCTGCTGGAGGGCCGCCTGGGCCGGCGGTATGTGGGCCCCTGCTCGGGGGTGGCCCCGCCGGCGGCGATGGCCGCCGCGCGCGCCTTCTGGGCCGCCCTCGCCGGCAATGTCTCCCTCAAGGCCCTGTTCCTGGGCGGGACGCTGGCCCAAGCGACCGCGGCCCAGGAGACCGCCCTGGTGGGGGTCCTGCGGGTGGGCAGCGCTTCGCGCCTGCGTGCGCTGCACTTGGACCCGGCGGCGCGGCTGGCCCCGGCGGCCGTCGGCCGCCTGGCCCAATTGGCCGAGCTCTTCCTCGGGCGCGGGGTCCTGGCCGAGGCGCCGGCGGTGGCGGCCTTCGAGCGCCTGCTGCGCTTGGCCCCGGGGCTGCGGTGCTTCGTCCTCGGGCGCAATGGCTTTGCCCCGGGGGATGTGGCCCTGCTGCTGGCCGGGCTGCTGCTGGCCGGGCAGGAGCGCGGCGGGGCCGACCTGGCCGCTGGCCACCGGCCCGGGGCCTGCCTCGGGGAGCTGGCCCTGGCCGCCGGCCCGGAGGCGGACGCGGCCCTGGCGGCGCCGGTCCGGCTGGAGGCCTTCCACCTGGGGGAGAATGGCCTGTCCTCGGGCACGGTCCGGGCGCTGGCGCACCTGCTGGCCCGGGCCCCGGGGCTGACGGCCTTCCAGATCCGCGCCGGGCAGCTGGGCGACCTGCTGACCGCCGGCCTGGTGGAGGTGCTGGCCCCGCGAGCGGCCTCCCTGACCCGGGTGAGCCTCGGGCGCAATCGCTTCACGCCGGCCGGCGCCCGGGCCCTGCTGGCCCTGCTGGCCCGCTATGCCTCGCTGACGGACATCGTCCTGCCGGACATGCCGGGGCCCATCACCGGCGAGGTGGTCCGGACACAGGTGGCCGCGCACCTGCGCGCCCGGGCTGCCTTCTGCAACTTGTCCGGTGCGTGTGTCCGGGTCTCGTAGGAGGGCAGGGGGGGGGGGGGGGGGGAACCTCCTTTGCCGGCGCCTCGCTGCACGGGCCGACACGGGTGCTTGGCTGCTGCCGCTTGGGGGCCTGCTCCTGACTCGACTCTTGCCCTCTCTCTCTCTCTCTCTCCCTCTTTGAATGTCCCATCCAAAACCATCCCCCCTCGGCGCGCAGACAACGACCACACCCTGGCCGCCACCCTGCCCGGGCAGCTGGTCCACCGCCGGGCCCGTGTGGCCGACTTGTTCGATCGCGTGTACAACTCCTTCAACTTCGATCCGGCCTCGGCTCTGGCGCACCCGCCGGTCCTGACCCGGATCACCTCCAACGCCGGGGTGGCCTTCTGTCTGTGCCCCGGTGCCGGGCACGCGGCCGACACCTCGCTGGACGCCTGCCTGACCGAGCTGGAGGAGGTCCTTTTCTACCGGGGGTTCACTCGTGCGTTCCTATCTCCCCCCCCCCCTCCCCCTTCGATGCCCCCTGCTTTGGCTCCTGGCTGCTTCCTGTGCACCTGCCTGTGTGCTGCGCTGACTCGTGCACACGCACACGCACACGCGCACGCACATGCATGCCTGACACACCTCTACACACACACACACACACACACACATATGATGCCCCCTCCTCGCGCGGTCGCCCAGGCCTGTCATACTTCCACCTGGCTACCGACACACAGGCGTTCATCGCCCGGCGCGATGCACTGGACGCGCTGGGCGCCATGCTACATGAACTGGAAGCCGCCGAGGCGGCCCTGACACCGGAGCGCATGCGCCTGCTGGCCGCCCTGCCAGGAGGCACTGATGCCGGGCTTGCTTCCCCACAGGACGACCCGCCGGTGGCCAAGCAGCCCCGAGGGGCGGATGTGCTTGGGGATTGCGTCGCCACCGCCGGCGCCGGCGTCCGGCAACACGATCTACGCATCCTCACCGACGCCGGGGCCCTGACACCGGCCATGACATACATCGACTTCTTCGCGCATCGCTCTCTCTCGCGACTGCCGGCCCTGCTGGCCGGGTGGCTGCTGGATGTCGGCCTGCCGGAGGCCGCGCGCCTGGCCCTGCTGACGGGCCTCACGCCAGGCGACTTCGCCGGGCGCATCCAGGGGCCCGCCTCGCTGTGCTGGTACTGGCACCGGCAGGTGTCCATCGGCCAGGCCAGCCGGGCCATGCTGCTGGCCTCGCTGGTGGCCAATCCCCGGCTGTCGTTGGCCCAAGTGCCGGCCGGGTCCATGCTGCACTGGGCCCCGGGGCAGCTGGCCGTGGCGCTGAGCAAGTGCGTCGACTCGACCGGGGCCCTGGGGCGCCTGGGCTGGCTGCTGGACGGCCTGGACGGCCTGGCCCTGGTGGTGGCCATCTCCGAGCGGAGCCTTTGGCGGATGTTCTCCCCGGCGGTGGTCTTCCCGGACAATGGCCTGCTGCCGGAGGCCGTCCTGGAGGAGGGCCGCCAAATGGCCCCCCACGGCGGAGGGACGGCCGGCATGGCCAATGGCCCCTCGCCGGTCCTTGCGCCGATTCCCTTCGGCCCCGCCGGCATGGAGAAGGTGGACGTGTCGCCGCGGTCGCCCCTGGCACCGGACCTCCCGGCTGACCCGCCGGCGGGCGTCGATCCGGGTGCCATCTTCCTGGATGCCCTGCCGGCGGCTGGCATCGCCAGCCCCGCCGGGGGCATGCCGTCGCCCTCCCCCGGGTCGGGATGGGCTTCGGCGCCCGGGTCGCCGCGGTCTCCGCGGCCGCTGTCGCGCGCCGCCTCCGGCGTCGACCTGCATGCGTACCTGCCCGGGGCCGGGCTGGGCGCTCGGCCGCGCCTGTCCCTGGCCGACGCTCGGTGGCTGCTCCGGTGCCGAGAGGTCCTGATCGCGCGTGAAGTCCACGCGGGCCGACTGCCCGGCTGGCTGGGCACCTGGTGCCCGGATGTGCCGGTGCTAGACCAGGTGGCCTCCTGATGCCGCCGCGGGACCAGCGTGTGCGAGGTGGAGCAGGGGGGGGGGGATTGGCAGACACGGCTGGACGCGTGGCCCGCCATCCTCGCCGCCAGTCGATCTTGCGCCTGCCCCTCGCCGCCGTCGCCGCCGCCACCTCTCTCTCTCTCTCTCTCCCTGTGCCCCGCCCCGGGAGAAAGACAGGGGGCTAAGCGGGCAACAAATGCCCTCCCACCCTTCGCCCTCGCGTGGACCCCCCGCCCCCCCCCCCCCCCCCCCCCCCCCCACACACACACACACATCTTCCCTTCTTGTCCTTGAGTTTCACCCGCACCCCGGGCCCTTCCCGCTCCCCTCCCCCGGCATCAGGGCGGTAGATCGTGCCCGAGCTAGCAAAATACACGTCTCCTGCACAAGGAGACCCCCTCTTTTCCCCTCCCTCTCTCCTCTCTTTCTCCGATCCTACCTCTCGTTTCTTGCTTCTTCTGGGGGGAGGCACTTTTGTGTGCATGCGGCGCGCACTCCTGCACCAAAGACCGCCGCGAAGGCACACATATCACCGACAGGGGGGAGGAGAAGGGGGGCTGTGTAATTGTATATTATCGGGCGCGAAGAAGTGTGCGTGTGCGCCCACGACCGTAGACGCACGCGCGCAACCAGTCAGCGAATTCTATGCATCTCCTCGCATGCCGCTCTCCCTTTCTTGCTGCTGACGGGCGACAGCGGAGGAGCATGTGGGGGGGGTGGGGGGGAAATGTGGCTGACAACCATCAACGCGACATCCATGGGCCGAGGCGGGGGGGGGGGGGAGCAACCGGCAACAGCACACAGCAAGTGCTCGACGCGGTCGGCCCTCGGGGTCCAGCACCAGGCGCCTGCCGAGAGGCGGCAGCGGCGTGTGGCTCAGGTGTTGATGAGGGCAGGGGACCCGGCGGTGGTCTCCAGGTCGTCCTTGGTGTCCTCGGCGTCCTCGGAGGCCTTGGCGTCGGCGGCGCCGGCACGCAGGGCGCGCGCGGCGTCACGCCGGGCCTGGCGCTGGGCCTGGCGCTCCTCCTCGGTCTCGCCCTTGGACTTGGACGAGCGCTTCTTCTACGAAGGCGGATCCAAGCCGGTGACATGCGGTGCGCGTGTGCGTGAGTCAATGTGTGCAGGAAGGAACAGGGGAGGGGGGGGAGCGGGAGGGAGCCCCGGCAATGGCAGGGATAGCCGACGGACCTCCTTGCCGGCGGAAGAGGAAGTGAGGGTGTCATCGCTGGCACCATCAGGCGGGTTGCGCAGGATGTAGGGGACCAGGCGATGGGTCATGTCGATCATGTTGCGCGAGCCGCAGGCCTTGCAAGCAAGGAAGATCTCGCCCTTGCGGGTGATCGTCTAGATGTGTGGGTGTGTGTGTGTGTGCACGGTGGGTATGGTGTGAGCTGTGTGAGCGCATGATGCATGAAAGGGGGAGGGCGGGGTGGGGAGGGTCGCGGAGAATGAAGGGGCCGAATGCCGCCAGGGCGAACGACCGGAAGGAACAACGGGGGGGGGGGGGGGGGGCCAGAACAGCACACGCACAACAGCGGTCTCGGGGTTGGAGCAAGAGGGGCACAGGACGAAGCGCTTGATGAAAATGTCCAGGATGTCGGCCAGTTTGGAAGTCTGGTGAGCGCCGTTGACGATGTACCGGGCGGTCTTCTCATCGATGGAGGTCTGGGCACCGAGCTCGCCGCCGAAGAACTTGGTAATGTCTGGAGGTGTGCGTGTCGCGCGCGCGCGCATGCACGGACATGGCGCGCGGAGTCCCGAAGGGAACAAACGGCCGAGTGAGGGTGAATACGATGGAGCAGGCGAGACACGGAAGGGGCGGGGCGACGCACAGGCGGGCGGGCGCTCGAGAGCGCGAGCAACCTCGACGACGTTCGTCAGGAGGGTCTTGATGCCGTTACCGGAGCCAGTCACGCGAGACGTGAGCTTGGGCATCTTGTACCGGTAGAACATGTCGTCGATCTGACGGTTGATATTGACGGACATGGTTGATGCTACTTTGTGTGAAGGGCGTGTGCTCCGAAGGGGGGGAGGGGAAGGAGAGGCACTCGCGGGGAAAGGGGGAAGAGGGGGGGGGGACTAACAAACAAGGAGGGGGGAGACGAGAGGGTGGGGCTCAAAAACAGGGGGACGCGGCGGACAACGACGGGTGACGACGAAGACAGCGGCGGGCAAGAGGGGGCGGGGGGGGAGCTGCGGAAGGCTGACTGGCAGACACCATAAACCGTGATTCAGCTCGCGGACGAAGGAGCATGAGACTGGGGAAAAGGTGGCGAGGGGGGGAGGGATGGCGGGGGCTGTGCTCTGGAACGACAGAAAGGGGGGAGGGGCAGGGCGTGACGGGGTGAGCGAGCGCGGCGAAAAGGTGTGTGTGTGTGTGTGTGTGTGTGTGTGTGGGAGGGGGCGGGGGCGGTGCGTAAGGAGGGAGGGCAATGCAGAAGGAAGGCGGTGGGGGCTTACACGGGGGATGGACCCAGGCTTCACAGGAGGGGGAGGGAGAGCGGGGCGTGCGCGGAGGAAAGGAGAGGGGGGAGGGGGGGAGAGCAGGAGATCGGTGGTCTTCAACCCAAGCGCGCGCCGGCGCCTGGGCCCGGCCGGGGTCGGTGTGTCAAATAGGAGGCGCACCATTCGCGGGAGTGGGGACGGGGCGGCACGAGCCTGCGATTCGGCCCGGGGCAGACGGTGGCGGCGGCGGCGGCGGCGGCGGCGGGGAACACACGCGTGTGCCGGTGGAAGCAGGCGGGGGAAATCCGGGCGCGTGCGAACACACGCGGCCGAGGGCGAGCGGGGGGGGGGGGGGGGTCAGCGTGTGCCCCAAGGGCGCGAGATGCCCACCTTAGCAAGTGATGCATAACCCTCCCCCCGGTGGGGCAGGAGGAGCAGGGGGCGAGGCTCCCTCGGCGAGCGGGCGCAAGCCGCGGGCCGCCGCCGCCCAGGGCAGCATGGGGGCGCGGCCGGCCACCCCCGGGCGGCCTGGGAACACGCCCCGCACCCCCGGGGCGGGCGGACCGGGGAGGCCCGCGACCGAGCCGCGCGGGGGGGGGGGGACGATCGGGCCGGCGAGCACCAAGGCGCCGGGGCCGCCGGGCCGGTGCCAACAGGCCCGCCAGCCGTCGGCGGGTACACGCGGGCCGACGCCGC